TAGGCAAGTAAAAAAAAAAAAAGGAGCAAAAATCCTCCCAATCCCCTTTCCCCATGCAGCTATCCTCTCTTGAACAACCTATTGAGTAGCTTTCAAATACCTTTGGTTCTGCTTTTAGACACACACACACACACATACACACACGCACGCACGCACACACACATTCATATACACCAATATATATTTTGGTTCTGCAAAAATTTTTGTAATAGCTTTATTAACATATAACTAAAAGCCAGGCATAGAAACGCACTCCTGTAATCCCAGCCTCTTAGGAGCTAAGGCAGGAGGATTGTGAGCCTCAGCAAAGCCAGCCTCAGCAACTTGGTGAGACCCTATCTCTAAATAAAATATTAAATTGGGGCTGGGGATGCAGCTCAGTGGTTAAGCTCCCTGGGTTCAATCCCTGGTACCAACCAACAAACAAACAAACATATAACTTATATACCATAAATTAAAAAAGTACATGAGTTAGTGGTTTTTAGTAAATTCACAGAGTTATACAACCATCACCACTAATTTCAGAACATTTCCATCACTCCAACAAGAAACCCAAGATTCATTAGCAGTCACTCCTTGTATAATATGTGGCCATTTGTGTCTAGTTTTTCCCAACTAATAAAATTTCAAGACTCATCTATATTGTAACATGTATCAGATCTCTATTCCTTTTTTATGGGTGACATATATCCCATTGTATGGATATACCACATTTTGTTTATTCTTTCATCACTTGGTGAACATTGGTTATTTTTACTATTTGGCTGTTATGAGTAATTTGCTATGAACATCTATGAGCAAGTTTTCATGTAGATATATGTTCTTAGTTCTCTGGAATATGCACTTAGGATTGGAATATCTGGGTTACATGGTAATGTTATATCTGACTTTCTTAGGAACTGCCAATATGTTTTCCCAAGTGTATGCACCATTTTATATTCCCGCCAACAATGTATGAGAGTTCCAATTTTTCCATGTTCTCACCAAATACTTGCTTTTATCTTTTTAAATAGCCATACTAGATGGTAGAAATGGTATTTCCTTGTGGTTTTGATTTGCATTTCCCTGATGACTAACAATGGAAAGCAATACTTATGGACCTTTTTAAATATCTTTTTTGAAGAAATGCCTGTTTAGATATTTTATCCATCATTTTTTAATGGTTGAGTGACAAAAGTTTTTTATTCTAGATATGAGTCTTTTCTTAATACATGATTTGTGCATACTTTGTCCTGTTCTTTAGGTTATCTTTCACTTTTGTGAGGCTGTCCTTCGAAACACAGACTTTTAAAAATTGACGAGGTTTATTTTTTTTCTTTTCTTTCTTGCACTTTTGATATATCTAAGCAATCACTGCCAACCCAGAGTCATGTTTTCCTCAAAGAGTTTTACAGGTTTAGCCCTTACATTTAGGGATTTGAGTTAACTTTTGCGTATGATGTGAGGTAAGGGCAACTTCTTTTGCATGTGAGTATCCAGTTGTGCCAGCACCACTTATTAAAAAGATTCTGTTCTCATTGAATGGTCTTTGTACCCTGTTGAAAACCAAGTGATCATAAAGATAAGGGTTTATTTCTGGAATCTCAATTCTACTTCTTTGATCTATATGTTTATCCTTGAGTCAGCACCACACTGTCTTGATTATTGTCACTTTGTATTAAGTTTTGAAACCAGGAAGTATAAGTCCTTTGACTTTTTTTTTTCAAGATTGTTTTGACCATTCCAAGTCCCTTGCATTTCCACATGAATTTCAGGATCTGCTTGCTGATTCCTGGAAAAAGAAAAGCAAAGTTGAGATTTTGATAGATATTATGCTGAATTTGTAGATTGCTTTGGGGGATATTGCCATTTTAACAATATTGTTTTCCAATCCATGAGCATTTATGGATGGTTCCCCAATTTACATTAGTTATAATTTTTCAACTTATCAATAGTATATAGCAAAATTCAGCAGAAATTGTACTTCAAATCTTGAATTAAAATTTTTTTTCCTGAGCCTGCAATATGCAGTACCATATTCTCTTTAGATTCTGGTCAGGGCAGGAGTTGTAAATCACGACTTCCAATCAACCACATGATCACAAGGGTAAATTACCTATACTCTATAGTTTGCTGTGTTGCTAAACTATGGAAGTAGGAAAGTTAGGTATATTAAATGAATGCATTTTTGACTTAAGATATTTTCAACTTATGATGAGTTTATCAGGATGTAACTCCATTGTAAGTCAAGGGACATCTGTATTTTGGTCTTTTAAAGTATCTTTCAAAGATGTTTGTAGTTTTTATTTTACAAATATTACCATTTTTTGGTTAAATTTATTTTTAACAATTTTATTCTTTTTTATTTTTTATATATGTAATTGTTTTCTTAATTTTATTTTTTGGAGTGTTCATTGTTAGTGTCTAGAAATACATTTGATTTTTGTACATATATTATTGTATATCTATTCTGTTAAAATATTTTGAACATTTTTCTATGTCAAAAAATATACTTCTATGGGGGTTAGGTGTGTATCTCAGTGGTAAGAGCATTTGCCTAGCATATGTGAGGCTCTGGTTTTGATCCCCAATACTATGCAAAAAAGATTATATATCTACATATGTGCAAAAAAGATTATATATGTATGTGTGTGTGTTTATATTGATATATATGCTTTTATAAGATTATTTTATGGTTTTGTAATGTTTCACCATGTGGATGTACCATCATTTACCAATTCCTTATTATTAAACATTTACCTAAATTCCTTATTATTAAACATTTACCTAAATTCCTTATTTTAAAACATTTACCCTTAAACTTAAAAAAAAGTATAAACAACTCTGACAAATACTTGCCATTGAATCTTTGATAATAGCCCCAATTATTTCCTGGATATAAATCTCTACAAGTGTAAATGTTAGGGAAAATATATGCCTATTGGAGTCATTTGCTAAGCACAGCAAACATTGTCCTTCTAAAAGCTGATAGGTTTTACTTTTACCAGTGTGTGACATTTGAATCCATGGATTCTTTTCAACCATCAGTTTTTAAAAATCTTTACCAGTTTGATAAATAAAATATGAGTTTAATTGGTGCTTTGCTTGCATTTCAATTTCCAGAAAGTTCTAACTTTTTAAAACAAATATGTTTATTAGGTTTTTTAAAGTTTCTTTTTCTGTGAATTGCATTTAGGTCTCTTTAGACCTAAATGGTCAGCTTCTCCATACTTGTTTTGTGTATGTACTAAAGCCTTTAATCCTATGTCATTTATGGTATGCATTTTCTCCCTCTTTTGTTTTTTCATTTTTATTTAGTTAGCTTTTTGATGCACATTTATTTCAGTTTTTATGGAGGTAATTTATTGGTCTTTATGGCTTTTCCTTTCCGTGTTATGCTCACAATTCTCCCCATATTTTTTGGAGAACACATGGAAGATTAAATGGACATATTTTGTCCTATAACATATCACAGGATTTAATAAATATACCAGTCATGTCTTTGTCCTTTATATTAATTCCTGTGGGCAGCAGTAACAAAATTTCCTATACTCCATAGTCCATAAACAACAGAAATTTACTTCCCATAGTTGTGGAGGCTGATCAGTTTAAGATCAAGGTGCCAGCAGATATCCTGTCTGGTGACAGTTCCACTTTCTAGTTCATAGCAGTATCTTCTCTGTGTCCTCAGATGCTGGAAGCTGCCAACCAGCATCAACTCCAGTCTCTTTTGTAAGGTTCACCCGTTCACCAGAACCACCTTCATGGCCTAATCACCTCCCAAAGTCCTCACCTCCTAAAACTATCATGTTAGGGATTAGGATTTTGGGGGATACAGGAACACTCAGACCATAAAAGCTTGCAAGTGTACCTTTTTTTTTTTTAATAGTTGGACGCAATGTCTTTATTTTACTTTATGTGGTGCTGAGGATGAACCCAGTGCCTCACACATTGTAGGCAAGTGCTCTTCCTTTGAGCCACAACCCCAGCCCCCACCCCAACAAGTGTACTGCTTTATCCCTGGTTCTGTAGCCTTGCAGAGCAGCCCTTTCACAGGTTCCCTCTTTTTTCCTTCTCTGTTTTCAAAGCTCCAGTCTTATTTCCTCTGGACAAGTCCCCTGATCGTCCGTCCTGGCCCACAGCAATGACGCCTCCTCTAATTGCTTAGATGATCTATGTGGACTTAGTTTCAGCAAGGTGGACTGCATACTGGACCAATCCTCAGCTCTGGGCAAGTACCCTTTGTCCTCAGTCCAGCGTGACAGCTCCAGTAACTTACACTTAACATCTCAAAAATTGAGCTGATGGGGCATCTAAAGGATTTCCTTTAAGGTACCTTTCTGGCTCGCTAACCACAACTCGTATCTTTTAAATGTGTACATTCCACCACTCCTAATTCGGTGAGTTTCTCTAATCCCCGCTAGTATGTGGCTGTAGTGCCAGGAATTGGACGTGCACACTGTTGAAGAATATACAGATCAATACTTGTCTGGGGACAACGTCTTTGATGAAAGTTCTGCAGGTGGTGGCGACTTCCTGCAAATCTCTTAGGTCAGGAGCCAGATTTACTGGCTTTGTTTGGCCCGAGATCCTGAGTATCTGGAGAGCGATCTGATTTCTGCCCTGGCGCTGGGAAGGTCGGGCCGTTCAGGGGCCCCGGCTCGGGCTGCCTGGGTACTAGCCCGGGAACGCCTCTCCCGTTCCCCGCCGGGGAAGTTTGCCGCGCGCCGGGCGTCCTCAAAGACTACGCCTGCTGGCCCCAGGCTGGGCGCTGTCAGTTCCTGATCAGGCGGGTGCCCGCCCGGGCTGGTGCAGTTTCCAGAGCCGAAAAGCCACCCCCACGCCCGAGCTCCGCGCGTGGAACTAGGGGCGCGGCTCCGGCGCCGCCCACACCCGGGGCTGTTCTGACTCCTCGCGCTGCAGGCTCCACGAGATACGCACGGAGAGTGGCGGCCGCCCGCACGGCTGTGCCACCGAGTCCCTTGGCGGGTGGCCCAGGCAGGAAGATCCCGCGCCCCGGGATGGCGGCGGCTGCGCGGGCTCCAGACTGTACATCGCTGCCAGTCCTGCGGTCGCCACGGTCGCTGCTTGTGCTTGTGCTGGTGCTGCGGGTGCTGCCAGCCCGGAGTGCGACAGCTCGGGACCCCGCCGAGGAGCTCAGCCTGCACCCGCCCTACTTCAACCTGGCCGAGGCGGCAAAGATTTGGGCCACTGCTACCTGCGGGGAACGGGGACCCGGCGGAGTGCAGCCCCGGCCAGAGCTCTACTGCAAGTTGGTTGGGGGCCCCAACGCCCCGGGCAGAGGCCACACCATCCAGGTATGGTCCCGCAGAGAGCGGGGGTGGGGTGTGGGGCGCCAACTCCCTCCCCGCGGGGCAAGGCACCAGACCAAGGGATGGGTACTTTCCCCACACGTGTTAGTGACCCCATGCGACAGGGAAGTGTGCCCCAGCACCGCACGTGCCAGGGACCCCGGAAGGTGGCATGGTGCCGCAGGAGCGAGCCTGTGGGAGCATTGCCCTGGCAGCATGCCGCCCGAGGCGGGGATGGGCGAAGCGCGCGGATGAGTGAAGGCTGTGGTCAGGTTCCAGCTTGTAGAGGAGAAAGTCCGAAGCTGCGCTGTCGGGATGCAGCGACTGTCCATCACCCAGGTGGCACTTGGCCAGACGGTGAGAGCTCCAGGCTTCAAGGGCGCGCCTCTTGCCAGGCTCTTCATCTTCCCGAATTTATTACCAGGCGTTGGTGGAAGTTACCTTCTGTTGTGTAGTTCAAGAGAGAACTTTCAGGTTAAATCCTTAGTATCACTCTGATGTCACTGAAAAGATTCATTCCCGCTCCACCCCCACCCCCCCAAGTGCCACCATTCAGTCATTGGGACAAAGGAGATCTTCAGAGATCACACTTCCGCTGGGAACACCTGGTTGAAAAGATAGTGCAGCTGGTGCTTAGTGAGCATCTTGTGGTGTGCCAGGCTCTGACGCAGGAGCCTCCCAACCTGCTGGGAGGCGGCTCAGGAGAGGAGGCTAAGAAAAGTGCTCGCTTCCTGGGCAGGGCAGCAGCACTTGAATCCAGTCCTGGCTCCAAATCCTCTGTGCTAAGCAGAAATCGCCTACCTGTCCTGGGTAGGACTGCTGAGGACGGGGAGTTGCCATAAGAGGGAGTCATTTTGGAACTTGGGCTGGGAAATAGCAGGATTATCATTGCATGTCTAGTGTGTTAGAGATTCTTTTGATGGTGCATGTTCATAAATGACAAGTAGTTGAACATGCAGTGTTCTATATATATTGATTTATTTATAAATTATATGTATGTATTTGCTATTAATATGCTGTGCACATTATAAAATATGTAGTAAGAGAAATTAAAAATGATTGATGAAAATCCCTTTTACCATTTTAATAGAGTGTATATATTATAAAATATGCAAAAGAGAAACTGTAGGTAAAATAACAATAATGAAAATACCTTAGGTTTTTCTCTACCAGTCCTTGAATAATTTTGCCTTCTCTAATTATTTTGGGATGTGGATAACTATAGATATACAAATGAAATTAAGTATATAATTATTTTTGACAAGTTTAGTTTAGCACTTATGATTCAACAATTCAGTTGATTTTATATTAATACTTGATTTTAGTGGTTGCATAACTGAAAAAAATACACTTAAAATATGTAGATTTAAATGAAGAAATGCATTGAACTACTGTATTCCAGAGCCAGCTACCTATTTTATGGTGTCCTGTGTAAAATGGATACGTGAAGCCCTTGTTTAAAAATTATTTTAAAATTCAAGATGGTGACAGCAGAACATTAAACTAACAAGAGACCCTATAAGTGCAAACCCTTTGTGACTGCATAGATCTCCCGCTGTTCCAGATCCCTAAATCATTGTACTTACAGTTTTCCCTATCCTTCAATTATTCTAAAGTTTTTTTAAAAGTTGAAATTTGGCTAGTAGTTATTTTCTTTCCAGGTTGTATTGGTACTTTCTACTAGCGAAAGTGCTGCGTTTTTATGTTTTAAACAATAAATTCAAAACTCACTGCAAGTTTTTTTTTTTTTGGAAAATATTAAAATATATTAGGGAAGTTTGTTTCCTTGTTTTCAAAAATATGAGTATTTTTAGAGTTATGCAGTTCTATCTTTTCAGTAACAAAAAATGAAAACATTTCTAAACACCTGTTTTTCAAAATGCCTTTTCCAAGGCATACATTTCCTTAAGTAGTGTCTACTTTTGTGCATTTTGTTAAAACAACACTTTTACTTTGAAGGAACAGAGTGAGGGCCTTCAGTATTCTTTAAATATCTATCAGGCAGTAAACTGATGGCAACCACTTGTTATTCCAGCAAAAGTCAGCAAATTCTGAAGTTTTGTGGAAAAAAAAAAACACCCACACATAACTCTGCCTTAAGGTTAAAAGGTCTTTTAAGTATTCTGCCATGAGATAACTGGTAAGCCCACAGTTACGCCCCATTTCAAGATAGGTTTCTAACTTTTCTGCTATTTGGGGGAACAGAATTCATATGTCCACTTAACCATGCACATGTAAGCTGTGATATGTCCTGCCTTTTCCCTCAGATATTCAGGACTGTTGATAACTTATGACCAGCTGACTTGGGAATCAGGTGGTGGCCTCTAAATCATTCTGTATGTTTCATATTAGAAAAAACTAGTTAAAAAGTTTTTTTTCCCATTTCCAAGTAAAATAAGGATGAGAACCAGCTTTAGTATTTACTTCTTACAACTGTGTGCTAGATTGCCTGGAACAGGCAACTTTGGAAAAAATTGTGGGCTGGGGTTGTGGCTCAGTGGTAGAGTGCTCACCTAGCATGTGTGAGGCACTGGGTTCGATACTCAGCACCACATAAAAATAAATAAACAAAGGTCTACAATATATATATTGATGCCTTCCTTCTCTTCACCTCTCTCTCTCTCTCTCTCTCTCTCTCTATATATATATATATATAAAAATTATATAAATTGTCCTAATTATGGGTAGAGTAGAGGTGAAAAGAAGAAAGGCATCATAGAGATCTTCATCTATCTCCACTTCCCCAGATTTATCCAGGGAGGGCCACCTTAATTCTTCCCACTGATTGTTCATAGGTTAGCATTACTGTTCTGGAGGCTAATGAAAATCACATTTGCTGTTCAAATTGGGTTTCTAGAGTAGGTCATTAAATATGGGCTCAAGCTCCTAGATATACCAGGAGGTAGCTTTCTGAGGTCAACCAGCAGACAATGTCTCTAGGGCAGGATGTAGCCTGAAGAAAGAAAATGCTGTCTGGCATTATACCTTATTCTCCCTCTGCAAATAAGGGTTGAACAAAGGCCCTGCTGAATTATACTTTCTGCTTTCACAAGTTGAGGCCTTGGTAAGGCTGACACAAGAGAAGCATGTTGGGGACAAGATAGGAAAGTTGAGTTCCAGAGGTGGGATTACTAGACACTCACTCTAGCCCAGAGTAGGCAAAAGCTAGTACAGATTTGCCTTTTGGAAAATTGAGAGGAGGAGGGAGACAGGTGGAGAAAAGGGATTATGATTAATGGTTGTGTCTAAGTGATGCTTGACCTCAATCTCCTTATGTGCAGCTCAAGATGGGAAACAGAAGAGTTAGCCAAAATAGTTCTATTTCTATGAACTTTCTAAAAATAAATTTTGGGGGATAGCCAGGTCAAAAGGATTTTGCACAAAATGTAAAAAAAAAAAAAAAAGAAGAAGAAGGTCATGTTTTAGAACAAAATCTGGTTTTGTGGTAGTGATCTCTTTCTCTCTCTCTCTGGTAAGACATATAACACCAATGCTGATACTTGAATGGTAGCTTGTATCAACAGGTAGGATGTTTTAAAAGTCTACATTTTGTTTGTTGTGTGCAAAACATTCACTGAAGTTTCTCTGGAGGCAAGATTTATTTAAAAGGGTTTTATGTATTTGTTTCTGCTCAGACACTAAGTTTTTTGCTTCAGAGAGCTCTGTGATTTAGGGATTCTGTGTTCTTCATAACTGCACGGCCAGTGTTTATAATGGGCCTGAAACAGTGCAGGTGTTCGGAAAATGTTGAATGAAGGGATGATGGAAATGAACGTAAGTCAAAGAAGTTCATGGAAAAAGTAAACGTGAAAAATATACAAATGAATGTTATTCTGTTGAAAAGCAATTACAAATGAAATATGGTACACTTTGGGCTTTAGTTTTGAATGGTAACTTAACTATGGGATCTAATACGTGAGACATCTGACAGAGGTGATGATAAATTGAAATGGAAGGCCTCGTCAACAATGTCACCTAGAGTTAGGTAGCTCTGCATAAATACTATACTTGTAAGGGATGAAATGCACACATTTACCAAGCACATGATCTTTATTTTGTACATTGACACTTTGACCCATCCTTTATACATTTGTTTATGACACTGTGATTTGCATATGGGGCTGTGTATTTGGCCTGGATGATATTGACAGAGATATGCACACACCTGAGTTATGGCAGTGAGCGAGTGTGCTTGCTGTCAGCCACAGAGCAGTTTCGGTTGTGTTTGTGTAACTTGGACTAATGGCCATAAACAGGAAAGCCAACTTCACTAAGGCTCTGTTTATAGGGCTATTGTGAAAGAAAATCATTTGTTAACTCCAACAAGGGCTTTTTCCTTTCACTGTGTGAAAATGTTGAGCAAGGGCTGGGCAATCTAAGGCTTGTACTATGTCCACAGACATATTTGTAACAATTATTAATCTTAACTACTTAAAGATTTCAAATCAATCACTACAGTCAGAAATTTAAGGGCAAAGAATTCTTTTTAAAAATGATTTTCCTAATATATGTTTCACATTTGTGGAAATTAGCCTAAGTTTAGCATTGAAAGCTTATATACAAAACATATGAAGAAGACAAGCTTTTTTATCCATATTTTTAAATTGATGTGTTGTGGTTGTACATAATGGTAGGATTTGTTGTTACATATTAGTACGTGACACTATAATATAACGGGGCCAATTGCACTCCCCTGCATTTCCCTTCTCTCTTTCCTCCTCCCACTACTTGGTCCCTTTCCTCTATTCTATTGATCTCCCTTTGCTTTTCAAGTGTTTACCCCACCCCCACCCCTCACCCCCACCTGTCTTTTCCAGCATTTATTATCAGTTTTATTCTTGATGGCTGCCATTCTGACTGGAGTGAGATAAAATTTCATCGTAGTTTTGATTTGTATTTCCCTAATTGCTAGGGATTTTGAACATTTTTTTCATATATTTGTTGACCCTTTATGTTTCTTGGAGGAAACAAACTCAAGTATTTTTTCTTGGAGAGCCCAGTTTACA